CACTTGGCCTCCGGAGCCAACACAGCTGATATCTTTACGAAGGCGCTTGCGCCTAAAGATCATCAACGGCACTGTGTACACCTTGGTCTAGTTCCTCTAGCTTCTCACTTGCTAGGACCTTGATTGTGTACTATCTCTTATATTACTTTGACTGGCCTTGTGGCTTTTGTTCCAGTGGCCGAACTAGTAGTACCGCCCTGGTTTGCTCTTGTCTAGTTTGTACTCTTCTGACTGGTCTTCGGGCCCTTGCCTCAGAGGTTAGACTAGTAGTACCACCCTGAGCTGGGTGTCTCTTGCCAGGCACTGCCCCTTGTCTAGCCTAGGGGGTGTGTCAACATATTGATGTATATTCCTTTAGGCTAGATAAGTGCATGCCATAGCGAATACAACACCTAGCACAAAACTACCCTGTACCACCCTACCTAGTTCACTTCATTACCTTGATATCCCCCTCAAAGAGGGAATACCGAACCGCATCTGTGATGGCCTTGGTCCACCCATGCACCTAGCGACCTTTGTTTAGACATTCTCCACTAGTGGTGCCCATTCACAATGCAATTTGTCCATGTAATTTGTCTACTCCAGGAGATGGCTATCCAGATTTCTCTTGTGTGGAGAGACTTGTACAACAGTACCGGTCTGCCCTTACCCCTGGTCAAAATTGGTTATGCAGATTGTTCATGCCATGCAAAACCATAATACAACTTATCATACAGAACGGAGTCTGGCCAGCAAGACCAGGTCGTCTACGTAGATGAGGATGCAAAACGAAGTCTGGCCAGCACGAACGAAGAGCGAAGGGTCTGTAGAGGACGGAAAGAACTGCAGGTCAGCTAGGGTAGCACGCAGCGTGTCGTGCCACTCACGGGGCTCCTGTCGTAGGTCGTAGACCGGGCGCCGGATGAGCCACTGGGTCCCAGAAGGGAAGGTACTGGTGAAGCCCTGCGGACGGCGCAGGTAGACCTGCTCATGTAGACTACCCTGGAGAAACGCTGTGGCGAAGTCGAGGGAGTGTAACTCGTAGTCACGCTATGCTGCTACATGTAGCACCGCCCGAAGAGTAGTCATCTTCGGGGTCGGAGCGAAGGTCTAAAAGAAGTCCACCCCCTCGCGCTGTCTAAAGCCTCTAGCCATATAGTGCGCCTTTTACACAGGCGGCTCTCCAGGGGAGCGCTTCACCTTGAAGAGCCACCGGCCATCGACTACGTTCACCTCAGGTGGAGGAACTGCATCAACGTAGGTGCCGGTGGATCTCCAAGATGCCATCTCCTGCTCCATGGTAGCTATCCACTGAGAGGCCCAGGGTCCTAAGGTTGACTCAGCGTAAGTGCAAGGGGTCGGGATGTCAAAGGCGTCTGGGTCACCCTCAGAGACTAGCAGCATGGAACAGAGATGGGGAGCAACCTCAGTCTGGAAAGCAAGCTCGTACTGCTTGTCCTCTAGGACATCATTTCCAAGGGCAGACGCACCCTCGACCGACGGAGGACAGACAGGTCAAAGACCAGAGCGGTGGCGTAGTCAAGGCGATGGGTAGAGGCGAAGTCAGCGATAGCAGCGACAAGAGCGTCAAGACTCGAGACAGGAACAGACGGGTCGGTAACGAGGGAGGGAAGGACCCGAGGAACAAGAGGACGAGCAGCACGAAGGTAGTCAGACAGTGGGGGAGGCGCGACAACAAGGGCGTTACACCACGGCGACCGGCGACCTCCGTAACACTCCACTCCAGCACACCCCGAATGAGCACTCCCAGAGCAAGAACTCTCTCCAGCACCGGTGCCACCCCCAGGCCCACCGGGACAAGCCATAATAGGAACCCTAGGAGTAGCACCCTTTTCAACGCTAGCACCCCTAGAGTCCACGAACGGCTGCTGCTGTGGCGGCGGCGGCTGCTGCTGCTGCTGCGGCTGCGACGACGGCTGCAGCGGCTGCTGCGATGGTGACTGCAACGGCGGAGGAGACACCGGGGGAGAGGCAGGCGGCGAGAACGGCGTCGCGGGGCCACCAGAGTTGGCCGAATCCTTGATCGGGACAACCGACGGGAGGGGAGTGGCGTGAGACACACCAGATAGAGCAGGATTGGGAGGGAGGTGAGCAGGGGCTACCGGGGGAGTGGGAACCAGAAATAGGGGAGGGGAAACTGGGAGACCTCGGTGGGGAAAGCGATGGTAAATGGAGACAGACTTGTCGAGAGTAGCGTCACGGGAGTGAAAGAAACAGTAAGACAGCGGGTGGTAAAAGTGTTAGTCAGACAAGTCAAGGGGGAAGCTGAGGAAGACACAGTGGACCGTGCAGGCAGTGAGCTTGTCCGTGCCAGAGGCACAAACGTGAGCAAGGCAACCCCAGACGTTGAACGCGGATGCGTCACCAGAGAACCCGGTCTTAAGAAGGGTCGGCGAAACCTGCGGCCGCTAGGAGGGCGGCTTGAGGTTCAGTTGGTGAGCGGCGTAGCGAACGGCGAACGGCCTTAGAAAATGGGGTGCACCGACATGAATTATGGATGTACAAGCCACCTCCATGACCAAACCGATGCGTCGCTCAGCGACCACATTCTGCTGCGGGGAGTCCGGTAGGGTGTACGACTGGGTGATGCCCTCCGCACGATAGTACTGTCCAAGCCGGCCATAGGCGAGCTCGCCGCCCTGGTCGGAGTGATGACACAACAAAGGGAGACCGTGGTGGAGGCGCGCAGCTACGACCCATGGGATAAGAACGTTAGGCATGTCGGCCTTCTGCTCCTGGGGAAACACTGTGGTGTAGCGCGTGTAGTCATCGACGAGCACGTGGACGGGGGCTGGGCCCCAGACGTCCAGGTGCGGGGTCTGGAGGGGTGCGGTGGCAGGGCGAAGCGAGGAGGAGTGAGGAGCACGGTACAGCCGGCCCTCAACGAAGGACGTGCACGGCGGCGCAGGCTAGGGAGGGAGTGCAGGAAGCGATGCAGGGAGACCTAGGACAAGATCGTGCTGGGACATGTGGCGTAGACGTGGGAGTGCGGGGTGACCTAGGCGGTGGTGCCACAGGAGGGACGGGTGAGTGAGCGACCGACATGAGCAAGCAGCGGCGACCTGGGTAGACGCAGGGCCCGAGGAGGACGCCCCAACCAAGGGGGAAGAAGTGTCTAGTGTAAACAAGCCAGACACCGGGTCCCGGGGGAACATCGCAAGGGGGGAACCTGAGGCGACCTCGGTACAGACAACGTACCGCTCGTGACCAGGGAACGTAGTGGTGACGCCGAGGTCCTGAAGACAGCCGACACCAACTAAGTTCCTGGAGAACAAGGGGATGCACAGGCCCCCCTTCGTCGTCTGCCGCTACTACTTCGCTGTCCTTCACACTTGACTCCTGTTCGTCAGCCTTTTTCTTCCGCGACCGTGCCACACTCACGCCGCTTGCCGCGCCTGTCGTTGTCGCACTTGCTGACCCCTCTGCTGGTCCTGTCATTGCTCACAGCTACACTATCCTTCCCTGCCACCACCACTACCACCACCAGCGCCACCACCACGCCCTCCCTTGGGGCCGTGGCGGCCCCGACGCTGTCATTGCTGCGAGAAGGCCGCAGCTGCGGTCTCAGTGGCAGGGGCAGCTGTAGTGACCGTGGCAAAGCAGTCAGGCAGGCGCATGGCAATAAGGCACAGGGTAGCGCAGAACGGTGGGGGGAAGGCAGTGAGCTAGGCGACAGTGCTAGCAGCGCGGTAGCTAGTCTCTAGTGCACGGAGGTGAGTGGCGAGGTCAGCCACAGTGGGGAAAGCAAAAAGATCGGGGAATAGCATGGGGAGGGTCAAGCGGCCAGCGAAGCGGAGGCAGGTGCGGAGTAGCGCGCAACTACTGCATCTAGGAAGTCCTTGGCGTTCACGACAGCAGTGAAGCACGGACTCTCAGACAGGGGCAGCGCATAACTAATGACGAGCTGCGCTACAGCATCGCGAGAATCCCAGACGGCGCGAGCGAGCGCAGCAACAGAAAAGGCCTCACTCTCATCAGTGGTGGGGTCAGCAGGGAGGGGATCAGGTGTGGGGGGGCGAGGAAGCAAGCCATCAACATGCATAGCCAGGGAGTGCCCATCCTCGCGCTGACCTGTCAGGTGCCGGCGAAGATCAACAAGCTAGTCGGCAAAGTCGATCGCGTGTCCCTTCGCGTCAAGGCGAAGTACGACGTCCGCCATCGTGCAACCTCAGCGGCACAGCATCACGGCGACACAGCGGCACGGGGACACGGCAGCACAGCGGCACAGGGACACGGCGGCACAGCGGCACAGGTACTCAGTGGCATGGTGGCACTGCGGCGTGGCGGCAGGACTCTCTGGTGAGAAGACCGGGCGGGGGGCCGAGGAGGGCCCGAGGCGCGCAGAGCCGGCAGGGCGCAAAGGGCCAGGTGGAGCGCTGGGGCCAGGTGGCGCGCGAGGGCCAGTGGGTGCTCAAGGAGCCGGCGGGGCGCTAAGGGCTGGTGAGGCGCGTAGGACCGGCGGGCACAGGAGATGCCGACGAGGTACGCGAGGAGCCGGCGGGGCGCGAGGGGCCGGCGAGCGCGAAGGGCTGGCGAGGTGCACGAGGGGCCGGGCGGGAGCGCAAGGGGCCGGCAGGGTACGCGATGTGCCGGCGAGTACACGAGGGGCCGGCTAGGTGCGAGGGGTCGGCTAGGCGCGAGGGGCCGGCTAGGCGCGAGGGGCGGCGGGGTACGCGAAGGGCCGGCGGGTACACGAGGGGTCGGCGGGCACGCAAGGGGCCGGCTAGGCGCGAGGGGCCGACGCGGCGCTCAAGGGGTGGCGGGCACGCTAGGGGCCGGCGAGGTGCGCGAGGGACCGGCGGGTACGCTAGGGGCCTGCGGGCGCGCTAGGGGCCGGCGGGGTGAGCGAGGGGCCGGCGGGGCGCTAGGGGCCGGCTGGGCGCGGTAAGGCTAGGGTACGGCGGGGTGGTAGGCTAGGGCGAGGGGCGGAAGCGGGTGGGCGGACCTAACCTACTATGATACCATGTTAGAATACGAGAATAACTAGAAACAAGGGAGAACAAGGTAGATATAGGGTTGGAGTTGTACCCTCTAAGAACACACACCTATCTAGCCTATAACTTCTACATACAAAAATTTGGTTAAGGTGACATACAGATCCTTTTATCATAATGAAGAGCCACCGTTCTTGACCTTTGTCGGCAGTAATACTGTATCTACTCCATGAACTACAATTGATGGGCTTGTATACATGTTTCCAAGCACGACTCGTGACCCCGATGATGAGTCATGCAGCTTGAAGATGCGCAACCAGAAGTCTGTTTGAATCTTCGTTAACAATAGCTTGTCGAGTGTTTCCAGCTGCAAGTGGGGTTGTGCATGGGCGAAGAGGGAGGTTGCCAATGGAGTGAAAGATGGTATGGATTAAGTGGTTGTGCTAGGGATTTGTGGGGGGGAGGGATGGCAGAACTCGTGGGGAATGGAAACTGACTGAGTGAGCCAAAGAGCAGGACAAGGGAAGACGAGTGAGTGGGACGTTACATGGGAATCTTAAATAACAAATGGTATACTTAGTGGATACATGGTGATGTAGGGCATGAACTCTGGGAATTTAAAATGCAAGCGGAAAATACGAAAATAGTTCGTTGTTCTCTTCACCTGAAATCCATTCCCAAGGCCTTTGAGGTCACTGAACTCCATCCGACGTGGCAGTACATGATAGGCCATGACCTGCCATAGGGTGGCCTTCTTCCTCTGCAGTCCACCAAAGCGCGTGTTCTTGGGCATGCGAAAATATGCTCCATTGGTTGGTGCGAAAATTGTGATATTGTTGGTGATGAGTGTATTCATAAGAGTCTCATTCATGCCTGTAGGATGAGGATGGATAGGAGGAAAGAGGATAGCTTAACAACGAGCTTTCATGCAGTAAGATACCATAGCATATAATATCGTAGACAAGTGTAAAATGCCTGTAGATTCGTGTAGTATTCCATTCTCCTAGCGATTCTGCTACTGGGAGGTCAATCTCGCAACTCACCGCTTGCTCGGATGCCCATTGCCGTTCCCGTGAATCTACGCTGCTCCAAAAACCCCAAAACCTCGTTCACTTTGGCCAGCGCTGCTTGCTGCTCCGCCGTTAGATTTGACACTGGTGCTCTGCCGGGCGCTTGCCCTCCAGAGCCTCCGCTCCCAGTCTGGTTCCCCGCCCCCCCGCTTCCCGCTTGCCCTCCGCTCCCTGTCCCGCTTCCTGTTCCGCTTCCTGTTCCATTCCCGGTTCCGCTCCCCGTTCCGCTTCCCGTTCCGCTCCCCGTCCCATTCCCCGTTCCGCCACCGCCTCCGCGGATAGAATCTCCGCCGTCCCCTGGCGAAGACCTTCCCGATTTAGACGTGTCATTTCCCGAACCAGATCCCGAGCCTGCGCCCGTACCAGAACCAGTACCTGTCCCGGTCCCCGTCCCCTTCCCCTTGCCTGGGTTGGCTCCTCGTCTCGTGCCTGGGCCTCCCTTGCCCTTTCCCGGTTTCTTTCTCTTCCCCCCGCCTGCCCCCGGTGGGCGGAGGGGAAACGGCAGTTTTCCCTTGAATGCCCGCTTGAGATTGATCTTGTGATCCAGACCGTCCGCTGGAGAGAGTTTCACGGAGAGAGAGCTAGCTCCGAGGTCCGGAGTTTCACCGAGGTCTGTGCTCTCACCAAACGACGTGCTTATATCGAGAGGCTCGCCCACGGTCATTTCTGCGGCCCAGTTGTCCTGTTCGGAACCGTCTGCTGTGGCGGGAGCGGGAGCGGGGGCGGCGGCGGCGGCGGCGGAGAGCAACGGCGACGCGAGGAGAGGCAGAAGGATCAAGAGCGGGAGCAGGGCTAGGCGGGTTAGGGCGAACGGTAGTTGGGCTAGCGGGGTTCGCGTGAACGGGTGTTGGGGGAGAGGGGGTTGGGAGGGGTGGAGAGTGGTGTAGTCTGAACGCAATTTGCGGTCGCTTCTTCTTGCAAAGGAAATGGAGCGCCAGCGCTCAGCGCCAACAGGCTGTTGGTATATGGAGCAGGCCATGATGATGATGGTATCGTACGAGCGATACTCGCAACGCTCCTCTACATCGGCTACAAGGATTCTGCGATAGGAACGTTTGTTTGCGCGATGGTTACGAGAGGATTCTGACTCCGTGTGAACGCGACTTGGCGAGTCTGCGCTTCGGGTTACACTACAAGCGAGTCTTGAGGAAAAAAATCCCGTCGATGCAGTTAGCGACAGTTCGAGTTGAAAAATCGATTCGCGCGCCTCACCCGTGAGCTGATACGCCGATTCACCGACAGCCTATCGCATTAAGTGCGACGGTTACACTATACGTGGTCGTCGCCTAAGTTCTAGCGACGTGAACAGCGAGGAGACCTGGAAAAAAACGTTTCGGATAGCTCAACTGTCGTTTCAGATAGTGCGGAAGCCTCAGGTCGCATGAGTAGTCTGTATCTTAGGCGTGCAAGATGCCGAGCGAAGCCTCAGGTCGTACGAGTAGGCGTGCAAGTCGTCGAGCAGCACGACGACAAGGCGTTGGGTGAATCCGTGTGGTAGCGGGGTGGGGAGCATTGTGGAGTCCTGAACGGAGCCAAGCCAAGCTGAGCATAGCAAGGCACAGCGGAGCAGAGAGAGAGAGAGACATGACAGGGAGGAAGGGGTGGGCTGGGTTAGGTAGGATCTCCTTCAGACAAGAATTCAAAATTCGAATCGATTTGCCGGATCGCGGGCGACTCGCTTTGCTACACATTGAGGAGTGTGGCCTGGCTGGCAGATTGCTAGGCAGCGAGTTGGTGCAACGGGGCCGATAGGTGGGTTCGTCATGCGACTCGGCTCGGGTTTCCTGTGAAACATGTAAGGCCGTGGATCTCCTAGGGTCGACAGCGGTGAGGGGTTGGAATTCTGTAGTCAGCACGACGAAAGGGCAACTTTGGTTTCGCGTACAGAACTTGTATCGAGGCTGTCGCCAACAAGAAAATGAAGTACGTTTGATTTTGAACATGCCTACCCTAGAGTCTAAAAACAATTAACTTTTGGTTGCATTCTTGGTTTGCATAAAGTCATTCCTTTTAGAAGACCCTTGCTATTGCTCGTACCCAGGGACCATAACCAGGGAAGCTGCAAAGGAAAACTCTAAAAGCAGCATCCTGATTCCGGAACTGCTACCGTATTTTATATCTACCCATGTTCTAGCACTTTGGTTTGGGGCCCTTCAAACTTTCTTATAAATGGCGCAATAGCTTTAGAGAGGTGCATACTGTCAACATATATACTATATATATATGTATATGTATGTATAGACTAGATAGGTATACTGTATTTCTTGGATCCTACTGTAGAGGGTACAACTTCATTCTTGTATCCCTCTCTCTTCTAGTCCATCACTATTTTCTCTTGACATTTTCCCCTAGCCTAAAACCTCTCGCTGCTTTCCAATGCCTAGCTCTTAACCTAGCCCTTGTCAGCTTATACATATATTTGTATGTAGAAGTTATAGGCTAGATAGGTGTATGTTCTTAGAGGGTACAACTCCAACCCTATATCTCCCTTGTTCTCACCTGTTCTAGTCATTCTAATATTCTAACATGGTATCATTAGTAGGTTAGGTCCGCCCACCCGCTTCCGCCCCTCGCTCTAGCCTACCGCCCCGCCGGCCACTAGCGTGCCCGCCGGCCCCTAGCGTACCGCCAGCCCCTCGCGCACCTCGTCGGTAGCGTGCCCGACGCCCCTTCAGCGCCGTGCCGGCATTTTGCGTACCCTGCCAGCCCCTCGCGCCTAGCCGGCCCCTAGCGTACCCGCCGGCCCCTAGCGCCCAGCCGGCCCCTAGCGCACCTCGCCGGCCCCTAGCGTACCCGCCGCCCCTTAAGCGCCGCGCCGGCCCCTAGCGTGCCCACCGGCCCCTCGTGCACCTCGACGGCCCCTCGCGTCCCCGCCATCCCTTAAGCGCCGTGCCGGCCCCTCACTTCCCCCACCAGCCCCTACCGCACCGTGCCGGCCCTTTAGCGTCCCCGTCGGCCCCCTCGAGCCTAGCTGGCCACTCGGGCGCTCGCCCGGCCCCTCGCGCACCCTCCCGGCCCACCGCGTGCCTCGCCGTCCCTTCGCACTCGCCGGCCCCTCACGCGCCCGCCGGCCCCTCCCGTGCCCGCCGGCCCCTCCCGTGCCCGTCGGCCCTTCGCTTCGCCGGCCCCTTTGCGCCTCTCCGGCCCTTAGCGCCTCGCCGGCCACTTAGCGCCCCGTTGGCCCCAGCGCTACGCCGGCCCCTTGCGCCCTGCCGTCTCTGCGCGCCCCGGGCCCCGCGCGCCTCCGGCCCCTCCTCGGCCTTCCGCCTGGTCTTCTCGCCAGAGAGTCCTACCGCTGTGTTGCCGTGTCGTTGAGTACCTGTGCCGCTGTGTCGTCGTGCCGCTGTGCCGCCGTAACGTTGTGTCGCTGAGGTTGCACGATGGCGGACGCCTTACTTCGCCAAGACATGGGGGGCACGCGATCGAATTCGTCGCCTGGCTTGTCGATCTCCACCAGCACTTGACAGGTCAGCGCGAGGATGGGCACTCCCTGGATATGCATGTTGATGGCTTGCTTCCCCGCCCCCCCCGCGCCTGACCCCCTCCCTGCTGACCCCACCACTGCTGAGAGTGAGGCCTTTTCTGTTGCTGCGCTCGCTCGCGCTGTCTGGGATTCTCGCGATGCTGTAGCGCAGCTCGCCATTAGTTGTGCGCTTCCCCTGTCTGAGCGTCCGCGCTTCACTAATGTCGCGAACGCCAAGGACTTCCTAGATGCAGTAGTTGCGCGCTACTCCACACCCGCCTCCGCCTCCGCCTCCGCTGGCCGCTTGATCCTCCCCATGCTACTCCCGGATCTCTCCGCTTTCCCACTGTCACTGACCTCGCCACTCACCTCCGTGCACTAGAGACTAGCTACCGCGCTGCTTGCACTGCCGCCCAGCTCACTGCCTTCCCCCCACCGTTCTGCGCTACCACATACCATATTGTCATGCGCCTGCCTTACCGCTTAGCCACTGCCCACGACCACTTCCTTAGCCAGCACCCTGGTGACCTCACCCTGACCGCCTTTGTCACTACCCTGTCTGAGATAGAGACTCGCCAGCGCACTATCGCTCAGTCGAGCGGTGCTGCGGAAGTCCCTATCTTTCAGGGTTGTGCTCCCTCCCAGTGCACATACGCTGACGTTTCCGTCACGGTCGCTATGACTGCCCCTGCCACTAAGACCGCAGCTGCGGTCTTCCCGCAGCAGCATTAGCGTCGCGGCCGTCGCGGCCCCAAGGGAGGGCGTGGTGGTGGTCCTGGTGGTGGTGGCGGAGACAGTGGTTCTGACGAGGGGGCTGGGGCTGGTGTCCAGGAGAAGCAGCAGACCCAGCAGCAGCAGCCGCAACAGCAGCAGCAGCAGCAGCAGCCGTGGACCCGCCTCCCGCCGGGGTGGCGAGGAGCCCCTGGAGGTGGTGGTCATGGTGGCGGTCCTCGCAGCTCGGCGTCTAGCGGGGGCTTCGGTGCTGTGAGCTGTTAGTACCAGCTCCAGACCGGGCCCCTCCGTGGCACTGTGTGCCGCCGCCCGCACCCGGCGCCCGCTGTTTCTGCCGCCTCGACGACCTTTTCCGTCGCCGCTTCGGCACCGGCCCCGGACCTCCCTGACTGGCCCAGTCTGCTGCGCCACCGTGTGCATGTTTTTTACTTAGATATGGATCAGATTAGTTATTCCCTGCATTCTCTGTATGCTGACGCTTCTAGTGTGTCCGGATCTAATTACCCTAAGTTCTTTAGCTTAGGCGTAGCACCTCTGTGTAGTACAGATTCCCCTGTTGCGTCCGGCGTAGGATCGGCTGTTTTTGTCTAGCCTAGGCTCTACACTCGCTCCTCCTTCATCCGCCGCTACCGCTTCGCTGTCCTTCACACTTGACTCCGGTTCGTCTGCATGCTTCTTCTGCGACCATGCCGCCCTCACGCCGCTTGCCACGCCTGCCACCGTCGCACTTTTTCACCCCTCCTCTGGTCCTGTCGTTGCTCGCAGCTACACTACCCTTCCCTGTCCAGCGGATCCCTTACAGGCTTGCATATCCCTTCGTTCTCCAGGAACTTAGTTGGTGTCTGCTGTCTTCAGGACCTCGGCGTTACCACTACGTTCCCGGGTCATGAGTGATACACTGTCTTTACCTAGGCTGCCTTAGGTCCCTTCCTTGCGAAGTTCTCCTAAGACCCGGTGTCTGGCCTGTTTACGCTGGACACTGCTTCCCCCCTGGGTGGGGCGTCTTCCCCGGGTCCTTCGTCTACCCTTGTCGCCGCTGCGTGCTCGTGTCGGTCGCTCACTCACCTGTCGCTTCTGTGGCACAGCCGCCTATGTCACCCCGCACTCCCCCGTCTGCGTCTCATGTCCCAGCACGGTCTCGTCCTAGGTCTCCCTGCGTCGCTTCCTGCCCTCCCTCCCTCGCCTGCGCCGCCATGCAGTCCCTGCGTCGAGGGCCGACTGCGCCATGCTCCTCACTCCTCCTCGTTTCGCCCTGCCGCCGCACCCCTTCAGACCCTGCACCTGGACGTCTGGGGCCCCGCCCCCGTCCTCGGACCGCACCACGAGCGCTACTTTCTCGTGCTCGTCAACGACAACGCACGCTACACCACGGTGTTTCCCCTGGAGCGGAAGGCTAACGTGCCTGACGTTCTTATCCCATGGGTCATAGCTGGGCGTCGCCACCATGGTCTCCCTGTGCTGTGTCTCCACTCCGACCGTGGCGGCGAGTTCGCTTCTAGTCGGCTTGGACAGTTCTGCCGTGCGGAGGGCATCACCCAGTCGTACACCCTACCGGACTCCCTGCAGCAGAAGGAGGTTGCTGAACGACGCATCGGTCTAGTCATGGAGGTGGCTCGTACCTCCATGATTCATGCTGGTGTACCCCATTTTCTGTGGCCATTCGCCGTCACTCCCCTCCCGTCGGTTGTCCCGGTCGAAGAGTCGGCTATCTCTGGCGGCCCCGCGCCGCAGTTCTTGCCGCCTACCTCTCCCCCGGTATCTCCTCATCCGCCGTCGCAATCGCCACCGCACCAGCCACCGCAGCCGTCGTTGCAGCCGCAGCCGCAGCAGCAACAGCAGCCCTCCGTGGACTCTGCGGGTTCTTGCGTTGAGGAGGGTGCTAGTCCTGGGGTTCCTGTCGTGGCTTGTCCCGGCTGGCCTGAGGGTGGCACCGGTGTCGGAGAGAGTTCTCGCTCTGGGGGTGCTCGTTCAGGGGTTGCTGGAGTGGAATGTTTTTGTGGTAGCCGTGGTGCAGCTGGCAGTCCAAGTGTCGGCGTCGAGCAGCAGCAGCAGCAGCAATCGGCGTCAGTGTCCGCCCTTCGCCTGCTCGGCCTTCCCTCCCATGACCGCTCGCCTGCGCCTTCCTCGACCCCACCTCCTCTTCCTGTCTACGGCCCTGTATTCCCTCAGCCGGACTTGTCTCCTGCTCGTCTTCCTCCTTGTTCCCCTCTTGTGTCTCCTCCAGTGTCTCTTGACCAGATGCCTCCGTCTCACGTCTGGTCCTACCGTCTCTCTCGTACTTGTCCTATCTCTCCTACTCAGCGCTCTCACCCCATGTTGCTTCGTTCTCA